GTCATTTATAGTCATCAAATAGTTTCTGATTCGTTAAGCTGTCTTCATTAAAGTGTCACAAATAAAAGCAATTAATGCCTTTTCTGCTTGAATTCATTGAATATTTTCTTTTCCATTTTGACGAGCTTTCAATTTAATTAAGTCTTATTTGAAATGCATTTATCCAGTCAAGCTAATTACATTTCAATTAAGTTAATTGTACAAACTTTTCTCAACTATGTTGGCATGAATTTGCCAAGGAGTTTCTTATTACGGATTCACTGTGAACAGCTTTAAATTGAGCCCATGCCCCCTATGCTCGTCTATGCTCGTTATTCTCTTCACAAGATATGCAAAGTGGCTGCACAAACACGCGTGTAATACGTTAATGATGGTCCACACACTCACACTCACACACACACACACACGCATACACATGCAAATGCTGAATATTTTCTTTCCCGTTCCTCAACAATGCACACATTGTAGCTAAGATTTGCATTACGGGCATTGTTCAGTTTTGCAGCTTTTTAGTGTATCTGAAGTCAAGTCAGAGCGCACCGACGAACGCCTACATAGTTTAGCCCCGCCCCTTTCTGCCACCCCTGCTGGCAATCTGCGGCAAATTGTGCGCTCAGCCGTACAGCAGCAGGCCACACCCCAGGAGAGTTGGAAGAGATGCGAGGAGCCGTCGGAAAATGCCATCCTGACAGCAGCAGCAGGGGCGGCAGGAGCAGCAGGAGCAGCAGCAGCAGGCGGACAAAACAAAAGGCAGCCGCGCATTCTGTAGCTGCACTTTAGTTTGCACTTTTCGTTTTCTTTGCATAAATTCTCGCGACCAGGCACAAACTGAGTTTACTGTAGTGCAAAAATGAGCACGCACAAAAAAAAGAAAAAAAGGCAGGGCGAGGTGTGAGAGAAGTGGCCAGGAATGGGCGTTGGGGGACAAACTAGATAGATGCATTGCTGTACAAGATTTCCCGTTGAATTTTAAACCAAACACAAAAGCATAATGGAAAACGCCAACAGAGCGCAATGAAGTATGCGATGCAAAGCAGCGCCAAATGGACTAGTTTGCAGATACAGATAGATATACACACACACCAGGACACACACACACACACACATACATACATACAGATACAAATGCAAGAACAAAGCGTTTCAGGGCCAGGCACAAATGAACAGAGTGATGCGATGCTGACTGAGACTGTGGTTCAGCAGTCGCGTCTATGCCTGCGTGTGCTCTTGGGCGTGGACGTGGGCGTGGCAATGGCAGCTCTCAAGGCAACTTGTGCATAAACATAGCTCGTAAACTTTGCTGGTGAACAGCTACACACAAACGCACACACACACAGA